TGCGCAAAATGGGCAACCACACTGGACTCCGACACCAGAGCCCAACTCGAACGAGCCGCTGTGCTATGGGGCATCCCGGTGCGAACCCTATCAAAACTGGGGTCATCGGCCTTGGGCCGCATCCTGGCCGCTGCGAGTCACTTCTACCAGTGACTCTCAACAGCACACCGACAACGACGCACAGCCAGGCAGCACAAATTTTGGCAACACCACTGCTGCCAATTTCTCACTGTCCTCCGTTTCACTCTTCGGTTCTTCCCAACCGATGACGTCACCGCACGTCATTTTTGCTCCTGGCTACTCGCACAGCTTCAGCTACTTGACGTCTGCCATCTCTCCTGTGGTTCCGGCAGACTGAAAGCACTGCTTACTCGACTTGGCCTGGACAACCCTGCTTCCGATTTCTCTTCTCAGCTTGTCCCTTCAGCGGTTTATCTGAGATTCACCAGCCATCCAAAGTGGCAGACCTTTTTCTACCTCGGAGCCACTCGCACCTCCCTCATGGCACGGGACCACAGCCGACTTCGCAAACTACTCCAAGTTCAGCGACATCATCTGGTCAATGCCGAACTAGCAGTCCGGTGGTGGGCACATTTGACATTTTCCACCACTACACCTCGGTGCCCATTCACACTGCCGTTCCAGCAACGGACCTATTTGCCACTGAACAGTTCTACATCCAGGAACTGCAACCGTCTCTCAATTTTGGCTTCATCGAGAGACATTTCCGGCCACGCACGGGCTTCACACGCCAATTGGACTTCTCCCAATCCCGGCACATGGGCTTCGCCACCATCTGGCGAAAACGCCGCCGACTACGACTACCCATCGCCCTACAACAGGCCTTCCTGGCCAAGCGCATGAACAACCGCCTGGATTTGTGGCGATTTTTGGGCGATCTTGGCAGCAACACTCTACGACGATTTGATGCCATCCGTTACATACGGAGCAGAGACTTCCCACCCGCCGCTCTCTATGTCCTTCATCGCATAGCCACACACCTGCCTGAACCACACCACCAGGCATGCCTTTCCGCCATTCGATCCAGTTTACGATTCCGGGGCCTCATTCCACCTGGCCCCTCCAGACCGATGCTTGCACCCTTCCTCGCCCATCCTTCTTTCCGATCCCTGCTTTTAACCCAACTTCGCGGGTTTATTCGATCTACCACTCGCAGCGCTTTACCGTTTCACATGGCACAACCACGCATTGTCTTCAAGGCACATCGGAGACTCTCCAGTGCCTTGTTCTCACATCTCCAGGCAGCAAAAACCTGGAGTCTCGGTGAAACGACCTGCACATGCACCGACCTCGCCCAACGACACCCATCCCTCCCGAAGCATGACGGACACCTTCTTTTCTCCGGTGCAGACACCCATGAGCTGTTCGACTCCGACACTGCCCACATGCTATCCGGATCGATGCGCAACTCCTTCTTTCCTCCACGAGGGGTCTTGATGAGTCGCCTGACCCAGGCATTTCAACACTGGGCCAGGACCAACAACCTACCCGCGCTCGACCCATCAACCCTCACTACTATTGTCGAATTCCATTTCGACCTCCACCTTTCACACACATCACAGTACTTTCTTCACGCCCACGTCCAACGGGCTCTGCATACCCTGGAACCCCTTGTCCGCCATTGCGAAGACCATGCGGACTCCCGACTCATGATCTATTGTCCCGTTCTCTACGGCAAGATGTTGGAAGCCACTTTTGCGGACCCTGCCATCTTCGCCCCTCTGCCGGTCCCTGCCATTGAGATCCACCAACGACTACGAGAAACCATTGTCACCAGATTCCGCGGCCGCTATCCTTGGGCCGTGACCGGATTCGGAAGACCAGCCAACGCCTACATCCTCCCGAAGAGGAAGAAGAACTGGACCACTGCCCGGCCCATCATCAGTTTCATTGGCGCCTTCTTCCGACCCATGCTCGACGCTCTCGCCAAGCTCCTCCACAGCATGGTGGCCACGGCTTGCCCTGACGCGTTTTCAGGTGGCGACCTCTTTGAACTCATGCGGTCCTTGCACGAGTTTCTAAGCCTCGGCCACACCCATTTGGATTACTACCGAAACCAGGACCTTTCCGGTTTTTTCACCTCCATCGACAAAGACCGCTTCTTAGCAGCCTGGCGACTACTGCTAACCTGGTACCGACAACGACAACCACACTCCTCTACCACACACCTCACAGTAGACACACTTGACACCTCTGCCATCACCCGCGTCTACAACGGACGCCGTCGCCGACACAAACCCACACAACGCACCCTGTGGCTCGACGACATCCCCGAGATCATTCAGGCCACCCTTGACATGCAGATCTTCTCTGTCGGCCTTCGTTCATTCAGGCAAACACGTGGGGCACCGATGGGATCCCCCGCGTCCCCAGCTCTCTGTTTGATGGTGATCGCGGTCGCCGAACAATGTTGGACCAACACTCACACCACATTGGGACTTCGCTCCGTTGAAGATACTCTCCTGCTCCGCTACGTGGACAACAGACTCGTGATCGCAACCCCCAGGTGGCTCTCGACTCCGGCAGCCAACATACTGTGCGACGAACACTTCTATGGAGGAGACATCTTCCTGGAAACAGAAGCCGCCCTGGACTTCTTGGGGTTCCGACTGAACCTCACAAGCAGCACCATCTCCTTCATTCCCTCGCATGAGAAGCACAACATGCTCTCCGTCAAGTCAGCCGCACCAATGATACATAAGGAATCTGGATATTATTCCAGACGCACGCTGATCAGCCGAGTTTCCTTTCCTGAATTTCAGCGAGATCAGGATCTTGCAATGTTGAAGAGGTTGTACCTCCAACACGGTTTCACCTTACAAAGAGAAGAAAAACCGTCCTTTGCGAAACCACACTGGTTTTCTTCTCTGCCTTTGCATCCTGACAGATTTGACCTGATTTTCGTGCCGCAGCTGTTTGACTGTTTGACCAAAATCCGTTGCGAGCATGGATACCAACACAGCACGCCAGCTGCTCCAAGACTTCGAACTCATCCTTGGCATTGCCCAACAAGGCATCGCCACCATCCGCGAGTTCACTGAGAGTCCGACTGCCGAACCTGATTTGGCACCGGAGGCCACGCTCAACCCCGCCATTGAGGACCTGACCAACTCACCACCAACACCCCTCCTGGCCCCCCTCGAGGACCTCTTTGAGCCACCTCCTGATGCTCCAGATGAACACCTTCCCACTGATCATGACGAACAATTCCCTGATCATTGGGCTCCGCCCACTCCTCCTCCGTCTTCTCCCGACAAAAAACGAGCTCGCCGCACACGTGATTTGGCCTCCTCACGATCTACGGCATCCAAACCTGCTCGTGGACCAAGCGAAGCTACCACATCGACCAGGACTGATGCCTCTACTGAGGCCGAACCTGAAGCCTCGCAGCCTTGGACTGAGGGAGAGATTGAACTCCTCCGTTCCCTTAAGACCAATTCCAAAGCCAAGTATGTGTGGTCAGTCATCGCCACAAGACTTTCTCGCACAATTGATGCTTGCAAGACTCAATGGGCCTTGCACAAGTGATGTCGCCCCAGTTGGGGCTCCGTGTGTGTGAAGCGTCCTGGAGCACGGACGGAAATTCCACATTGCAGGGGGACCAGGCGTCTTGCTGCTGACCTGGTCTAACAAAGCTAGGCAGCAAGACGGGATACCGGAATTGGCCATTCCGGCGTACCTGCCATCCTTTCGTGACCTAATGTGTTTCCTCGGTTTACCACTGTTTGCTTCATGTTCGGTTTCGATGATGTGACATTTGCACTGCAGATTGATTTTTTCATGCCCTTTCAGTACAATCGCGTGTCTGCAAGAGCAGCCTCTCGAGATAAGTGTGTGTGTGTGTGTGTTTGTGTGTTTGTGTGTTTGTGTGTTTGTGAGTTTGTGTGTTTGTGTGTTTGTGTGTTTGTGTGTTTGTGTGTTTGTGGGTTTGTGTGTTTGCGTGTTTGTGTGTTTGTGTGTTTGTGTGCTTGTGTGCTTGTGTGTTTGTGTGCTTGTGTGCTTGTGTGCTTGTGTGTTTGTGTGTTTGTGTGTTTGTGTGTTTATGTTTTTGTGTGTTTGTGTGTTTGTGTGTTTGTGTGTTTGATTGGTTGTTTGTGTGTTTGTGTGTTTGTGTGTGTGTGTTTGTGTGTTTGTGTGTTTGTGTGTTTGTGTTTGTGTGTGTGTGTGTTTGTGTGTGGGTTTGTGTGTTTGTGGGTGTGTGTGTGTGTGTGTGTTTGTGTGTGTGTGTGTTTGTGTGTGTGTTTGTGTGTTTGTTTGTGTGTGTGTTTGTGTGTGTGTGTTTGTGTGTGTGTGTGTGTTTGTGTGTGTGTGTGTTTGTTTGTGTGTTTGTTTGTGTGTGTTTGTTTCTGTGTTTGTTTCTGTGTTTGTTTGTGTGTTTGTTTGTGTGTTTGTTTCTGTGTTTTTGTGTGTTTGTTTGTGTGTTTGTTTCTGTGTTTGTTTGTGTGTTTGTTTGTGTGTTTGTTTGTGTGTTTGTTTCTGTGTTTGTTTGTGTGTTTGTTTGTGTGTTTGTTTGTGTGTTTGTTTCTGTGTTTGTTTGTGTGTTTGTTTGTGTGTTTGTTTGTGTGTTTGTTTCTGTGTTTGTGTGTGTGTTTGTTTGTGTGTTTGTTTCTGTGTTTGTTTCTGTGTTTGTTTCTGTGTTTGTTTGTGTGTTTGTTTGTGTGTTTGTTTCTGTGTTTGTTTGTGTGTTTGTTTGTGTGTTTGTTTGTGTGTTTGTTTCTGTGTTTGTTTGTGTGTTTGTTTCTGTGTTTGTTTCTGTGTTTGTTTGTGTGTTTGTTTCTGTGTTTGTTTGTGTTTTTTGTGTGTGTTTGTTTGTGTGTTTGTTTGTGTGTTTGTTTGTGTGTTTGTTTCTGTGTTTCTGTGTGTCCGTGTCTGTGTGTCAAGACCCGGGAACCTTTTGGAATGACTTTGAACGGGGATCTGACAGCAACTCTTCGAACCTGGGCCCAACTGTTCCGACATGGCTGCAGCTGGCCACGGAGGCTTGCTTCGAAGCCTCGCATTCACAGGCGCAGCTGGGATTGTGGCTGACTGGACACAACACGCGCTCACTTTTCCCGATCATAACTTGGCTGTCCTGTATGAGGATGTTGCTCTGAACTGGGCTCATTGGGCTGTGGCTCAAAAACATGTACCAACATGGCACCTTGGTCATTTGCGTAACCCCAGCTCTTTAATTTTGAGGCACACCCAGTTTTTGACTGGACATGGGCAGGCGTACCTGTTCGCCTTGTTTGGACTCATGGCCCTAGGGCCCCAAGCCTGGCAGGCCTGGCAGGCCTGCAACCTTGGGCATCGCGAGGTTGGGGGCCCGGCATGTGTACTGATCAGAGGCACTGATCAGAGCCATGTGGCTGAGGGTCAAAGCCAATGGTACCATTTTGACGTAGGTGAATTCACCACCCATGTTAGAACCTATTTTAGTGGTTGGATTGGGATGTTCACTGGGGGTACGATTTGGATTTTGACCCATGGCCATGTGAGGTCTCTTTGATCCCCACAGAGCCAGTTGATGGAGGATTCTTCCCGCAGCAGCCTTCCGCTCTGGACCATGTCCCGCAAGGGCCTTTTTCTATCCTTTTCTGCCAGGTTCCATGTTTGGTTCTGCGCCCCCACATAAAGAGCCAACCGTTGCTTTTGTTGCTGGAATCTGCGCCTCCCCCATAAAGAGTCGACCTTCACTTCTAAAAGGCCATGGGTCAAAACCCAGACATCGCAATCCAGCCACTAAAATAGGTTCTAACATGGGTGGTGAATTCACCTACCCCAAAATGGGATCCCAAAACGGTTTTGACCCATGGCCTAAAAGAGGAATCCCTGACATTCCCGGGGTTCGGCGCCCTCAACCGTTGCTTGGGTTTCGCTCCCCGTGGCTTCGCATTTCGGCCGCTTTCTTGGAGGTCGCAGCCTGGCAGCGCTCAAGGCCGGCACGCAGTCCTCGGTCCCGGATGTTTGTTTGGTCCCTCGGTGTCCCTTGGTGCTCCCTTGGGGTTCCCTTGGAGAACCCAATTGTACCATCAAAAAAGGGCATACGGAAACTCATTTGGTGGTTCTGAAGATAGTTCACCCTTGGGCAGGTGACCTGCTCACATGGTCCATGAGCGTTTTGCCTTGGATCAGTGTGGAAGCATTACCAGATCCGGTAAAAGTAGTTGCAGGTTCATGTGCGAGGGTGTGGAGGCAAGCTGGGTTGAGTGTTCATGCCACAAGATTTGCTGTTTTCGTTGAGCAGAAGACTGGCGCTTTTGAAGGCTCCGTGGTTTAAACAGCTCCACCGGTGAAACATGAAGGCCGCAGCTCCCCGCCAACTAATTAACTCACATGTTGCAACCGCTGCTTTGACACACCATCCCCGCTAAAGAGAAAGCGTCTTTTGGTTGCCATTTGAGCACGAGTTTCCCTTTGGCATACACAATCTCAATTGCCCTCACAGAAAATGTACTCAGCGATACCCTCCTGTCCATAAATATGGAAGCTGACTGCGGGATCCTGGAAGACACTTTTCCTTCAAAAGGGGCCCTTTGCTGGGTTCCATGTTAGTGGACAGAAGGGCAAACATGGCTGTAACCGGACTGTGGCAATTGGGTTGGCTCCCTGGCCATGACCCCACCAAGGGCACATCACGAGGTGGATGGCCCCGTGGAGCCCTTGGGCAAGTTCGTGCTGGTGAAGCAGGCGCAGGCCGAGGAGATCACCAAGGCCGGAGATCCAAACGTCGCGAAATGTTGCGCGGGACCAAGGTCTTGGCTGTGGGTGGTCTCCCCACAACGCTGGACCCTTGCACTTGTATCGTCCTTTCCTGTAGGCCAGGCAATTACTTTCTCGGGATTGAACTTATTCGCTTTTCTTCGGAGCATTGTGTTCGTGGGTTGACCTTTTTTTTTGCCTCATCCCAGACTTCCCGGGTTTTCTTGGGTTGACACGTCTTTTGTTTGCCTCATCCCAAAAGGGAGGCCCCCAAGAGGCAACGCCCCGCTGGTTGGGCCCATCCGTTGCCAGGCAGGGCTGCTGCTGCCGAAGAGCGAGAAGCCCAAGGAGGGCGAGGTGGTGGCGGTGGGGCCTGGCGAGGCGCGGCGCTTCGGGCGCGGCAGGGCGCGGCAGGGCCTTGGCGCTTCGGGCGCTTCGCTTTGGCCGCTTTAAACGGCAACGAAGCCTTTGTTTGGGTAAACTGCTTGGTGGTTTGGAGTTCGGTGGGGATTCGCAGTCCTGGCTTTTGAAGAGATGGGAAATCCCTCCTGAACCAAGAAGTTGCAACCAGAGTCTGCCCCTTTTTGACAGCTTTTTTGGGGGGTTTAGGGTTCCGATTTGGTTTAAAGTCAACCAAACACAAAAAGATGCCGATTCCTTTTTTCCCATGGCCACTGGGCATCTGAGGAGTTGGACCCCAGACATGATCTTCAGCTTTCCTGGTGGGGTCCCTTTACACCGACCCCAAAAAGGGAACCCCTGCAAAACGAGACGCCCATTTCATGAAGGGGTCCCTTGGAAAAAAAAGAGAGCGAGACACACGTGTCATGAAGGGCTTTGGGAGGGGGCATTGATGCTGAGTTGATCAGCCCTTAAAGACTCAAGGGGCGACGAGACTTGTAGATCCAGGATTCCCTATGGAAGCCGAAAGAAGGTTTTCTTAGCGACAGTGCTTCGGACAGTAAAGGGCCCCCCCTGATGATGAGATGCGGCTGCATGTTGGTCAATCACAATGGGTTCCAATTCTAGCGAACCCCAGCGACAAAGTAATTAAGAAACAATTAATGCAGGAATCCGCTCTTTTGATTTGTTAGCATGGGTGAGGGATTTGCCTTCGTTACCAGTTGTTCTTTCAATCCAACCTAAATGAGTTCCGCCAAAGGGCCCCGCACCCATGTCGTGTATGCTTCTTGTTACTCACTCAGCTCATTGCCTCAGGCCAACGCAGAGTCGGGCGTGATGGTGCCAATGTCCGTGCAGGTCGGTGAGAAGGCGTCGGCCCTGCTGCTTTCCCATAGTTCAAGGAAACCCAGCTCGGAAAAAGTCTATGCTTGGGTGTCCGTACGAAAATCAGGCAAGGCTTGCTCGTGCGTGCCACATGCCCATGGAAGCCGCTTTGGTTGCTTTCTTGAATTGGGTGTGGCTCAAATTAAAGAGCTAGGGTTACGCGGTTTTAGTCTTTGTTTCCATTTACCAGCCTTCCATTTTGGCGTTACCCATTTTTGACAACCACAGCCACTTGAAGGACGATATTTGTCCAACTTTCCATCACAGTTCTTTGCCCAAGTCAACTTGCAGCTGTGCAGGTCCTGTACAGCAAGTCCGAATCTTATGTCCAGATTGTCCATGCACATCTCTGGTTAGCGGCAATAGCCAGTCCCCGCTGTCTCTCGAAAAAAGCTTGTCCGAGGTATGGTGGCTCCGAGACCATCGAACGTGAGGGTGAGGACCATGTGCTGGCTGCTCGCCCAGCTTGTTGAAAGAGATCACTGCTCATTGGATGAAAAGCTACACACCCGTGCTCGCTCGAATCCGTGTGTGTGTGTGTGTGCATATGTTCAGGATGCAGGATGCAGGGCCTTCTTTGCCTCTCAGCAGTCGTTCTATTTGTTAAACCGCTGGGAGTGCTCACAGATGTTCGCATGCATTCGGATAGCCCAGTTGTTTGTTGTATGTGCGAAGGTCCGAGAAGATGACGTGCTTCTGAAGTACGAAGGCCTCAAGGGGCTTGCGTAGTTGCCGTTCTTCCGTCTTTCTGTCAAATAAGGACGAGGTTCATTTGAAATTTCCGGTACATAGTCAATTTGGGAGGCGCATAGGGACTCACTAGGCTTCCCGGAAAATTCAATCAAACTCACCTTTCAGCCAATATTGCATACGTCTCCCATGTCCAGGATGGGAATAGCATGGAATAGCTGTTTTGGCCCATTTCCCTACAAGCGAAGCACGCGCGTGATGCCAGGTGATGAGCCTTTGCTGGAGAAGATCAGCATGCCTCGGGGCAAGGCCTTTGGTGATTTCATGTGTTTTGTTGACAATGGCACATTTGCAAGCTTAAGGCTATCCATGTCCAACGTTGAGTCAAGCGAAAGATGGTCAGATTCAGAGTTTTCACTGTGGACATGACAGATTGGCGTGTGAAGGATGTAGTCTCTGACAAGCGATGATTGCATTGTCGTGCCTTTGGGCACGGATGGCTGCATGCAGCGATTGACTGAACCAGCATAGCGCTTCGTCGTGATTCTTCCCTCTCGTCGTGGCTTTGCCTCCATGACTATGTTTGCTGTAGCACGGATAATCAGGCTTGGCAACACTGGTTGCTTCCCCCGCCAATTCCCTGCTTTTCCTGCAGTTCTGATCTTGTTTGTTGGGGAAACAACTGTTGTTCTGTGTTTGAGCGCCTCGCGAATTGAAACAATTTCGCGCGAATCTGTCTCAACAAAGAAGACCTATTCGGAGATTCTGCTCATGGATGCAACAGCGGCCACTTGGCTGTGGGTCACAAATAAGCATCCAAAATGGAACCCTGGCAAATGGAACCAAAGACTAACACCTGCGGTCCCCTGGCGATTTTATTTTGACCCATAGCTAACTGTTTATATTCACATGCGCGTTACATCCTATTCGGTCAGGAACCCCTCGCTCGGAAAATGGGAAAAAACTGGCCTCGTCTCCGTTGACCGAGAGATGGACCACGACCTTAGCCGCGCTCTTTCGGGAACCAGCCTCACAGCCGATTCACCAGGTTTTGGTGAAGCTGATGCGCAAGGAGCAGGCCCCTTGGCCGAAAGTCACGTAAACTTCACTTGGGCGTGGGTCAAGCTTAGACCACAGGTGTTAGTCCATGTGTCCATTTACCAAGGATCCATTTTGGGCACCTATTTGTGACACTTCATTTGACAAATGGCTGTGGCTCAAAAAAGTGGTTCCAAAATCAACCCTGGTAAGTGGAAACATGGACCAAGACCTGCGTCACCTCTACTGTTTAATTTTGAGCCACATCCAAATGGGAGCACCCTTTTGCTTGGGTAGGAATGGTAATCAACCTTTGCAGAGGAAATCTAGAACAGGGTTGTATGGGTCCTCTTAAGGGACCCACATTTTAAGACTTGGGAAGATTTACCAAGAGGTGTTGGACGCCAATTTAAGCGATCAGTTTGTTTGGAAGACATGAGGCTCCGGACCGATCATGGTTTTGAGACTTGCAGATGTGAAAGAAAGAGGTTTTTAATTGGAGCTGGCAGGCATGTTCTTTTAGTTATGTTTGTCCAGTGAGTGAAGAGACAGCACTTCTAATCTTAAAAGGTGCACGGGAACGAGGAATTGGATGCTATCGCTTTTGTGCGGATTTTGAGGATGCCTTCCATCTGAGGATCTGATTTCAAGCGGGGGTTAAAATGCCTTGCAATGCGCTAAGTGGTGTGCATTTGTTGTGCAGTGGCACGGAGTGAGTGTTTTCTGCCTTTAGTGCACCTCGGAAGTAGTCAAGCAAGCCACGAGCAGTGACCTTATCAGGATGCCTGACATGCAGTGCCATTGGCATTATCTCGCCCAAAAGCGAAGATATGGGTATGGGTCAAAATCAAATCACCAGGGGACCGCAGGTTCCCTTTACCAGGGTTCCGTTTTTGGCACCTATTTTTGACCCACAGCCATATGCAGGGCTCCTTAAAAAAAACATTTTGCCCATTTGAAACATGGCTTTTTCCACCAAAGTAAAGGGAAACCTCCATTTACAAGGCAATGTTCAGGTGTATAATGTAAGGATCCCTGCTATGGCTGAAATGAACAAGGTGGCGACTCACGTCGCGCCGTTTTTCGTCGGGTGTTTCGTCCCTCCATCTCTCCGGCAGCGTCGTGCCAGGAGACCTCCTTCGGGCTTTTGCTCTCCGAAGGGGCAGCGGAGCAGACGACAACGGCCGGGGAGGCAAAGTCGCGAAGTGGGGTTGGTCCAAGATCTGCCAAATACGTCTTTTTTTTTTGATTTTGATTTTTCAGGACAGGAAAGTCTTGAATGTGTGGACAGAACCAATCGACCTGCAAATGCTGTCATTCAGCAGACTAATTCCTTAGCAGTTTCCAATGGATTAGTATGCTGCACTTACACAGGTTGAGAGATGATGAGTTGGCTGCGTTGGCCGCAGGTGACTTGATATCATTGTCCACAACAAACATATCACAAGGCCGATGAAGGTGACTCACTGCTAAGCCGAGCCCATCCCGCGATTTGGCCACACCAGCGCGTTGGCGCGCCGGCTCAGTACTGTACATATGGGTGTGGGTCAAAATTAAGCCACCAGGGGACCGCAGGTTTTAGTCTTTGGTTCCATTTGCCAGGGTTTTATTTTGGGTACCTATTTTTGACCCACAGCCATATGCCTGCCAAATGGTAAGAACACCCGCTGAAGTGCGCCCCCTTAGCACTGCACTTGTGCCGATTAAACGGCAAGAACGCCCACTCAAGCGCTCTGCGTGTGTGCCATGGCTTTGCTGACAGGGCTTCGGTAGTGTCGGGATTTCTCGGAGCTTCCCAAGTTTGCCAAAAAAACAACAACAATCTAGTTGGGTGTGTCGTTTTCTGAGGGTGCCCTTTGTTTTATGGTTTGAAAGGGAACACCAGGAAAGCCACCATTTTGACAAAACACGCGCCATCACTTGCCACTTGCTGTAGTGGTACTCAAGCGCGAATGCAGAAGCTTGCAATTTTGGGCAGGTGTCTGCGGTCGTGCGAGTACAGTTTGCTCATAGCCATGTTGATTGGAAGACCGTATCACCTTTCATACACCAATACAAAGTATGCTACACATCAGAACTGACAACCATTTGGACAAATCGTAGCGCGCAACCCTCACCTTGCGACGTTGCGCACGATGCCGTGTCTTGTCTCCGTTGTCCCAGAGCCATGGCCATCTCTCGACGAGGGCCATGGCCCAACGCAGAGCCCTGGGCCGACTTGGGATTTCGGCCGATTCCGGTCCCTCGGAAGCCAAATGTTTGAGGACCCCAAACGCAGATGGCACCCGGGTCCCATGCCAGGGCGTGGTCGTGAGCTCGTTCTCGCGCGGTTTCGGGAGCCTCGCGCGAGGTGGTGGCTGTTGGCCCTGGCGTGGTGCTCGCAAATGGCCTGGAGCTCGGACTTGGACGCCTCAGAGGTCCTAGTTCCCTCTTTGGCTCTCCTGTTGAGGCCAACCCGTGGTTGACTTTCCATTTAGCGTGCAGGGTGAAAGTGGACATGGAAGGAACCCGGCAAAAAGAAGGAAGTTCCAGGAAGTAGTACTGCCGTGACAAGAAGCAGAGCCTGTTGCTTTTTGGGTAGCTGCCTTGCCTGGTTGCAGGATTGTATGTTTGCTGACAACTCACAAGTGAAGTCTACAATCCGCGATTTGCGCATCTGGCGCAGACTTTTTTTTCTTCGGCTAAAGTTCAAAGCCAACGCCGAACTAAGGCGGATATTATTTCCTCCGGATGAAGGGAAACATCACGTTGACGAATACCTTGACTCGATCGTCCTGGATTGACCTACCCTGCACTAACATGGAACACACCAGAGGATCCCTTGCAAAGGAAAGTAGTCTTCCAGTCCCCATCAGTCAGCTTCCATGTTCATGGATGGGAGGGTAGATACTTTGATGCCTGCCTTGCCCCGTTTTTGTAGCGGTTTGGTTCGACTTGCTAAGCACTAGTCAGGTGAGGAGCTGCCGCCTCCCGTCGAGGCGTGTTTCGAACGTCGGAAGGCGAATTGCTTTGGACCTTGCAGGGAGCCGTTAACGCGGAGGGGAAAGTGAGGAAGCGGAGCTGTTGAAGTGTGGGCTTCGAGTTATTTGCGGCTTAGCGTCTTAGCTACCCAAGAGGAACCCACGGAGAGCTATTCAGTGGTCGGGTCTGGGAGCTTGGACCCTGGCCCCAGCCGCCGTTTTGGAAGACCAACAGAGTTGTGGTTCTAGAACTCTGTCCGCCACCTGTGAATGGGCTGACAGAGATCATTGTTCTAGGAGTCAAATATATATATATATATATATAGTATCCTATAGTATAGTTGGAGCTGGTGTTTTTGTCTGCGTCAACCGCCAAAAAAGGAATCTCTGCGTCGGCGGTTTTTCTTTTACCACCTGGATGAGCGGTTCACATATACTCTGCGTCTCCTTTGTAGGTGGGCGACATGGTCCGCTTCCGCTACGGGGACGAGGCCAGGTGTTTCCAATTTTCCGAGCGAGGGGTTCCTGACCGAATAGGATATGGGTATGGGTCAAAAATAAACCACCACAGGACCGCAGATTTTAGTCCATGTTTATTTACCAGAGTTCCATTTTGGGTACCTATTTTTATTCCCACAGCCATATAACGCGCATGTGAATGTAAACAGTTGAGGCTTGCACAGATGCGCATGTTCGATAGACCGCCTTTCATGAGCAGATGTGCATGCCTTTCGACTGGGAAGGAGGCAGTTATGCAGTTGGAACCCAACGCCGGAACTGGGCATTTTGGAATCACAAGAAGGAGTCCTTGTTACGCAATGGTCCAAGACCCACTGCAAGAAAGGTATATGACATGGGGTCATGGCCAACTCAAACACGATGACGCATGTTTCCTTTCCGGAAAAGCCCTTGTAGTACAGGCTGCTCCCAAAAAGCCACTATCTGTTGCATTTTCTGAGATTTGCTTGCCTTCAGCTGCCAATCAGGAAAGCCTAGTGGTGCCTTGACTCCTTGACTAGTGCTTTCTCCTGGGTTCCAACAGGCATGACAAGGGGAACTCTGCTGTACCAGGTGAATTTGGATGTCGGCGACGACACCTTCACCGTAGCCTCCTGGCAGCAGAAGAAGACTGAGATCTAGCCTTATCCTGGTAGCATGTGTTGGTCATTGCATGGCGTGTCCTTGAGAGTGGAAGTCTGCCAGAAACGCGGACCTCCTTGGCTGCCGGTGCTGGTGGCTATCCAAACTGAACAGTTGCCGGCGCTCCGCACGCGTGACTGTACGCAATTGCGTCTATATACCAACCAGCATCAAGGCGACGAGCACCAACAAATGCGTCAGCTTGGACGGCTCATTTGAGTGTCGTTTGTACTTCCGCATACCGAAAGCTATGTTTGGACATAGATCCGCTTGCAAGCGGCGTCCAAGATCCGAATCCCTGGTTGGATTTCGTAGCCATGTTGCCGTCAGTGGCACTCTTGTTCCCGTTTGGCGTGGTAGGTCCTTTTTTGTGGTCAAGCCCAGAAAGGCGCATGTGTTCTTCCAGGGTCACTGGACGACTGGAAGCCAGTTGACTGTTTGAAGTTTGAAGGTGGGCACCTCCAACTGCATCGCCAAGTGGCGCAGTTGAGGCGGGGATTTGCGAGATGCCATCGAGCCATTGGAGTTGAGTCATGGGGTTTGCTGGGCACCATGAACCCAGCGGTTGTTTGGTTGTAAAGGTCATGAAGTGGGCCAGCAAATGAGCCTTTCGCACCATGTCCAGTACCCCAAGGATCTTGGTACACCACGATGGGTCCTTTTGAGGTCCAGCACTTTTCTGTAGAGGTTAGGTCCCCTTCCCCCTCCAATTCGGGGTCCTCTTTGATGCTTGGGGCGCTTCATTCATTGCTCGACTTCGGCTGACCCAATGTTACCTTTCATGTTTTGGCCTGTTGTATTGTTCAACTAGCAAACAGATAACTCTTGAGGGGGGCGGGTCTAAGTCTGGCCTAGTCTTGTGGATGAGCCGTGCGCACCGATTGCCAGTCGGCTGAGTCAGATGCATGGCCCGCAGGCCGTCCCCGAGTTTTGTGTCTCCCAGTGGCGTTTGAGAGGGGCGAGAGCCAAGTGGGGGCCATCCTTTTTGGAGGAACTGTCCTTTTTCAAGTTAGTTGAGTTGGGCAGCCAGTGACCCATCCATTTGGAGCTTGTTCAGGGCGTTTGGCTGAAGGCCACGCAGCAAGACACCCATTTCTTCGCCGATCTCAAGCGTCATATGTGCTCAGCAGTGTTGCATCACTATGCTGGCGCTCTCGGAATTCCAAAACCTCGTTGTTGTTTTCGCAAGATATTATTTCCAGATACAAGGAAGGACACCCCCTCTCAAAGGACAGTTTCGGGTGGCTAACCCGGATAGATCTTTGTGATTCCGAGTGCGGCTACAGACTAGGCAGATCTCACGGCCTCGCCGCTTAAGAAACAGCGCGGCTGCTGACGTGTGCGTGTATAGGCATACATGTATGTGTGTGTGTGTGTGTCTATGGTTTGATTGCTTGGTCGTTTGTTTGTGTGCTTGTCCGTCTGTTTGTTTGTCTGCCTGTTTGTTTGGTTTGTCTGTTGCAGGCAAAGCTAGCTTGTGTATGTCCGTGCGTGAGTCCGTGCTGTGCGCGCTGTACTGAGGGCAGGCATATCACAATGAGACATGCGAAGGTTCAGATTTCCTGTGCAGGCTTCCTGCTGTGGGAGTGCTGCAGAAGCGAGGCATCATTGGTAGCCAGCGAATTTGCCTGGTGCTGTTTGACACCTCTAGCAGCAAAACAAGCGTTGCCTGCAATGCGCAGCATTTGCTTGCCATATCTATGTGAGGAGCCATTCAAAGCAGCAGCGCCAAGCTGTTTGTCAACATGACAGCAGGTGTGCTCTTTGAATAAGACTCCCGAAGTTTATGAGGTTGATCTGCGACATTAAAAGGAAGTTTGGGACATTGTTTCGACAAAGGTTGATCCTTGCTGAGATTGACAGTCGGAAGCAGGTCGAATCCAGCAAGGTGTGCTGCTTTTGCTCCAAGCAGCGAAACATAGCACTCAGGTGCACATGCATTGGCACACATTCCAGAATGCTATGCTCATGAGTTGCGTTCTTGCACATCAGGAGCCATCGACGGCCGCACGCACCTATACAGAGCCATCATGCGTACCTGTTTGCTTTAGACATTTAGACGAAGACAAACTCATGGCTGTCCGCGCGAGGCTTGACATCTATTCCAGCAGTGGATTCACAACACATTGGAAGTGAACCAAGCACGGCCAACCACAAATTGGAGGCGAGCGGCTGGCTGAGCTCTTTCAGGCGTCCGGTTGGTTGCCATGGCAAAGCGAAAGCAAGGATCCGGCAAAGCGAAGCCTGAGAAGCCAGAGGACAAGGAAGCTCCGGCGGTTGGTTCGGTCAACATCATTGGTTTCATTTGGTTCTGGACATGCGAGCACCAAACATTGGCACACAAGAGGGAGGCTGATTTGTGTCCATGTCGACATCAGGGCAGCTCGAAAAAAAGTTCTCAGAGCCAGCTGCAGGTTCAAAGCTGGTTTCTTCCCGTGCCAGATGGCAGTGTCCTTGTCCCACTACGGATGAACTGATTGGGACGAGGGATTCCGAAAATCCCCCCCCCATTCAGGTTGAGCCACTTGACCCGCGAGGCGGAAGAGCCACAGGCAGAGGCAAAGGAGGAGGAGGAGAAAGCGCCTGAGAAGGAGGACAGCAGAGAGCCATGGGCTTTCGTGGTTTTGGTTGTGCTTGGGCAGATGAGTGTTTTTTACGCTAGCCAGCAGCAATTTGTCGCCGGAGGTCAGCATGTCAAGTATGCGGAGAGGAGGATCATGTTATGGGTGCATGTATATATACATATATATATATGTATATATACATCATATGTGAATGATTCGCTTGCAGGAGCCGCCCCAGGAGGCACAACCGGAAGCAGCTGCTGAGGAGCTCACACCATGGTTTTGCAAGTGCCATACCGCTGCCAAACTTCCCCTGAGGCTCGTTTGCCACAAATTGGGGACCTTGGGACAAGGATATGTTGTGGCGCCGCATAAAAGGGGTCCAAAAAGCAGTCATATTTTTCACCGCCCATGAACTGGGGGTGATTCTGCCCCGGTCAGCTCTCGGAGTCGGAGTCGCGCAGCTTCAATGGCTGAGAACCCACCTTGACAATGTCCTGACGGCAAAACAGTTACTAGCATATGCAGAATATGTATAGCCGGACTTGTTGTTCCGGTGGCACCCAGGGGCATTCTCGCCGCCCCAGCTTTTGGTGGCCCGGCCAGGTCTTATACTGACCGAGTAACATTACGTTACTCCATTCCATCGCCTTGTAGAATATGTATATATATATATATATATATGTACATACATACAGATATATATATATATATATACAGAGATCTATCTAGATATATAGACATTCATTTGAGCAGCCACACCCTGTTCCCAGTTCTAGCAAGGGCTTCCATGTCTGGCTTCGCAGGGCTAGACTCATGCTTTGCATGAGCCCTTTGAATCGATGTCGGAGGAGCAGTTCATGTTGCTTGTGAGTTTGTACGGGTCAAATTTCGAGCGCTTCCACCCAGAGCCCAAGGCCAAAAGCACATTCAAAGGCGGTCTGTGATGCCATCTTTGCTGAAATGGACAGTTCACTTCAACAGACCGGAGAAACAAGACATTGACCACATGCACCCCTGCTTCTTTTTTACGTTGTACTTGTACTGGGTGCGGGCGGCTTCAAGTTACGCATTTAAGTTCGGTGGGTCTGCCTGCGAAAGCCCTGTAGTAAAGATTGGCAGTGTTCGGTGCCGGAAGAGGAGCAGAAGCCAGCAGAGCAGCCGGAGCAGACAGAGCTGCCGGAGCAGCCGGAGCAGAGGGAGGAGGGGAAGCAGCTGGAACAGTCAGAGCAGCCGGCACAGACAGAACAGCCGGAGCAGACAGAGCAGCCGGAGCAGACAGAACAGCCGGAGCAGACAGAGAAGGCAGACACAGTGGAACCGGAACAGGACGGGGCCAGGCAGAGTCATGTGCAAGGTTGCTCTCTTTGCAAAAGGCCTCCCAGAACGAGGATATGGCTATGGGTCAAAACCCCCATCCCCCCAGTGAACATCCCAATCCCCACTAAAGTAGGTTCTAGAATGGGTGGTGCACCTACCCCAAAATGGTACCATTGATGTTGACCCACGGCCATATTTCTGCATGCCACGGGCCATGTACATGTTTTAAATGTGAGACATGTTCGTCGAGAATGCGCATCCAGCTCAAGGTCATTATGCATTAGATTGGAGGACACGCTGCGGAGGCATTTTCGCAGGCGAAGGTGCTGCACGAGTAGCTTTATGCTCACCCCTCTGCAAAGCCCCGGATTTTCAAAAGCTGGATCCCAAAGTGGCAAAAACAGCTTGACACCTTGCTGCAAGCACCAACTTTGCCACCGGAGCGACCCTTTGAAGTCCATTTGCTGCGTAAGGGCGGTTGATCGTTGAGCTTGCGGCCATAGCATTGCTGCGGCAACGAGAGGAGAGGTCCACAGTAGCACATTGCAGCCTAGCGCGAAGCACCGTGAGGAAGCTTACTGAGCTCAGGCTCAAGTTGTGAGTTGAGAGAGACGTACCTTCCCTTCAGGTGTAGCTCATGTTGCTATTCGCGGAAGCTAAGTGTACCAGCTTCCAGACCACAAGCGTTCCAATGGTCAGGTGAGGGGCTGTAACTGCTCAGGTTTGGGGTGGCTTTATGTGTGGCTAATGCTGTGTCTTTTTGGTAGGATACCTCCAAATTGGTGGTTGGTTCTTTAGTGTCCCTTTGAAACCACTACAAAGGACACATCGATTCTCCTCAAGAAAACCAAAGAAAACCAAAGAGACGCCCATCCATTTCTCCCTGGGCTTCGGGAAGTCATCCGCCAGGAGCTGGCGGACCCCTTGAGCAGCGAGGCCGGGGCGGAGGCGCTACATATACACGGAAGCTACAGGAAACCACCCAGGTTTGGAGGTTCACTCCATTGATATATATATATATATATACAGACATACATGCACGTCTATATACATATATATATATATATGTATATACATATATTGTGTATATGTATATATATATATATATACGCATGTATATATATATAGTATGCATGTCTCTGCATGTATGTATATATATATATACATACAAGTAAGGTCCGGCAGAGCCGGGGGGCGGAAGTTTCAAAGCAGTGAACAACTATAGTTTGGAGAACTGTCCTTGGCCCCTTGCTTCTCTTTCTCTCTGTCTTTTTCTCTCTTTCTCTCTTTCTCTCTTTCTCTTTCTCTTTCTCTTTCTGTTTCTCTGTCTCTTTCTCTCTCTTTCTATCTATCTCTCTAGCTATCTCTATATCTGTTTATTGATCTATCTATCTACCCATCTTTCTCTGCACTTAAAAGTTGCGATGTTCAATCCCCGAAAGTTGACTTCGCGTACTACTTTCGTACTTAAAAGTTGCGATTTTCGAGCCCCAGCTGCGAAACTGGACTTCACGTACTACTTTCGTAGTTAAAAGTTGCGATTTTCGAGCCCCAGCTACGAAAGTGGACTTCGCGTACTACTTTCGTACTAAAAAGTCGCGATTTTCGAGCCCCAGCTGCGAAAGTGGACTTTGCGTACTACTTTCGTACTTAAAAGTTGCGATTTTCAAGCCCCGGCTGCGAAAGTGGACTTTGCGCACTACTTTCGTACTTAAAAGTTGCGATTTTCAAGCCCCAGCTGCGAAAGTTGACTTCGCGTACTACTTTCGTACTTAAAAGTTGCGATTTATCTATAGATCTACCTATCTATCTACCTCTCTATCTCCTATCTATCTATCTACCTCTCTATTTATGTATCTCTCTATCTCTTTATCTATCTAGCTAGTTATTTGTCTATCTATCTACAAATCTATCTATCTCTGTCTATCTCTGTTTCTCTATCTCTTTCTATCTATTTCTCTAGCTATCTCTATATCTGTTTATTGATCTATCTATCAGTCCATCTTTCTCTGCACTTAAAAGTTGCGATGTTCAATCCCCGAAAGTTGACTTCGCGTACTACTTTCGTACTTAAAAGTTACGATTTTCAAGCCCCGGCTGCGAAAGTGGACTTTGCGCACTACTTTCGTACTTAAAAGTTGCGATTTTCAAGCCCCAGCTGCGAAAGTTGACTTCGCGTACTACTTTCGTACTTAAAAGTTGCGATTTTCGAGCCCCGGCTGCGAAAGTTGACCTTGCAAAAATGCTGCGCCTGCCACCAAATCTGTGCTTGACCTTGCTAAAGTGCTGCGCCTGCCACAAAATCTGTACTTGACCTTGCGAAAGTGCTGCGCGTGCCACGAATTTTGCACTTGACCTTGCGAAAGTGCTGCACCTGCCACAAATTCTGTACTTGACCTTGCGAAAGTGATGCGCCTGCCACGAATTTTGTACTTGACCTTGCGAAAGTGCTGCGCCTGCCACGAATTTGGCACTTGACCTTGCGAAAGTGCTGCGCCTGCCACGAAATCGATACTTGACCTTGCGAAAGTGCTGCGCCTGCCACGAAATCTATACTTGACCTTGCGAAAGTGCTGCGCCTGCCACGCAATTCAAACCTTGCGAAACCTTCGCGCGGCCGTGCCAATGGGCCCGTCTCCGAGACCGTTCCGAACCCGTTCCGAACCCGTTCCGAGACCGTTCCGAGACCGCCTCCGTACAGGCGTCGCAGCCGAGGTGTTTGCGCACAGTCCGGAAGCCCAATTCACGCACAGCGCCAACGTTTTCTGCATCTTGCCATCCCCCAGCTCGCAGAGAGTGGACGCAGCACCTTGCGAAAGTGCTGCGCCTGCCACGAAATCGATACTTGACCTTGCGAAAGTGCTGCGCCTGCCACGAAATCTATACTTGACCTTGCGAAAGTGCTGCGCCTGCCACGAAATCTATACTTGACCTTGCGAAAGTGCTGCGCCTGCCACGCAATTCAAACCTTGCGAAACCTTCGCGCGGCCGTGCCAATGGGCCCGTCTCCGAACCCGTTCCGAACCCGTTCCGACCGTTCCGAGACCGTTCCGAGACCGCCTCCGTACAGGCGTCGCAGCCGAGGTGGTTTGCGCACAGTCCGGAAGCCCAATTCACGCACAGCGCCAACGTTTTCTGCATCTTGCCATCCCCCAGCTCGCAGAGAGTGCTTGCGAAAGTGCTGCGCCTGCCACGAAATCTATACTTGAGAAAGCTATCTACGTGTTAAGCTGGCTATATGTCAAAGCTATCTATCTGTCATGCAAGCCTATTGGAAAGCTATCTATCTGTCAAGCTAGCTATATGTCAAAGCTATCTATCTGTCATGCAAGCCTATTGGAAAGCTATCTATCTGTCAAGCTAGCTATATGTCAAAGCTATCTATCTGTCATGCAAGCCTATTGGAAAGCTATCTATCTGTCAAGCTAGCTATATGTCAAAGCTATCTATCTGTCATGCAAGCCTATTGGAAAGCTATCTATCTGTCAAGCTAGCTATATGTCAAAGCTATCTATTTGTCATGCAAGCCTATTGGAAAGCTATCTATCTGTCAAGCTAGCTATATGTCAAAGCTATCTATCTGTCAAGCTAGCTATATGTCAAAGCTATCTATTTGTCATGCTAGCTACCTGTCATAGCTATATGTCAAAGCAGCTAGCTCATTTAGTTCCAGTACTACGGAAGTTTCTTGTTAAACTTCCTTTGATGACCTGTTGCTTGAGGCAAGGGATAATCCATGGTGAATAGCAAGGCACCCTGAGTTTGAACATCTACAGGTCTCCCTATGGCACATCTTAAAACTTGCTTGGCCTATTGCCGACTAGTAGACCAGATATTGGAGGCGATCTAACACCAGACGTGTGAAACGGTTGTTTGATGTGTGTTTGATTGCAAACTTGCTCAACAAAGCATGCATGTTTGCTTGGCGCGCAATGTTAAAGGCCAAATGCTCTCGAACGACACGGAGCCTTGCCATATCTTTAGCGCATGCTAGTAAGCTGGTTACGACGACGGTATGGAAGCTAACCCCACCCCGAATATAACAGCATTGTTATGACCTACTAAATGACCTTGCAATGACCTACTAAATACCCGTTGTCATGACCTGCTAGACAACCGTTGTCATTACCTACTAAATAACCGTTGTCATGACCTACTAAATAACCGCTGTCATGACCTGCTAGATAACCGTTGTCATGACCTACTAAATAACCGTTGGTGTGTCCCACCTACAAACAAAACAGGGGTTGGTAGATCATCCTTGTTGAAATTCCCGTTTTCTTTTTACCAATCGATTGACCTATTTACAAGATCATCCTTGAGGAAACTCCTGGAAAAAGTTTCCAATCGATGGCGTCGGTTTCAATCTCCTGGCCAGGAGCGGGAGGCGCTCACGCGGCTGCGCATGCACGAGCCGGAGGTGGCGAAGCTGCGCGCGGAGGCGGCGGAGCTGCGGAGGCGCCCCTTCTGCGGGGGCGAGGGGCAGGGGATCTGTTTCTGGGTCCCCAATTGGTGCCCGTTGACCGTTTTTTTTTGAGGGGGAGGGTTCCCCTACCAAAATAGATTTTCGGGGGAGGGTTCCCCTACTAAGGTAGACTATGGAAAAAAAGGGTACTGCTAGGTTTAGGGAGGGGGGGGCCGACTCTTATTTGGTTGGGATCTCAAACCTTTCTCTCCCCCCTCGAAGTGTGTTTTTGTGTTTCTCCCTCGAAGTAGGTTTTGTTTTTCCCCTTGGTGCACCCCAGTCTGCTTGTGACCTCTGGCGCACACTGCTGGGGGTGCTTGGGGGACATGGACAATGTCAGTTGCTCAGGTTACTCTTGTTCAGTGGTTTGGATGGTGAGATTTGAAGCCCTGGTTCTTGAGGAAATGCTGAGTTTGGTTGGGTTCGAAGGGCAACCAAAAAAAACCGAAGTCCATTTTTTTGGGGTCTCATTTTGAAGGAACCACCTCAATAGTTGTTGGTGGACACAACCCCCCAACTGATAAATGATGCCCACCAAAGGCCCCTGATGGAATTCATGCCCATTTGGACACAGTGTGAGAGGAGAGGCTGAATAATTTGAATAGGGTGGCGGCGTACTTCGACGTTCAGAAGAGAGCAATGAATGATTATTAATCGCTCTTATTAACTTACTCGGCCCCAACAACAGTTTAGACCCACCTTTCTTCTGCCTTGAAGGTACTAACGAGACCCTTGGGCAAGTAGACAAATTACAACGGGCTTGCTGCTCGGGGGTAAACAGAGCGAACACCCATGATGAAGGTCCTTTGCTGGAAACCTCCATCATTTGGACTATTTAATTCGCCCGGAGGAATTTGCATTTTGGGCGACCAACCCCAAAATGCATGTTGGTGCGTCTTCTTCGATTGTACCCTTTTTAGCGGTTTGGGAGGCAATTCAAAAAAGACACCCATTTGCGGCGGGTGGGTGAGGGTTTGAACACAGAAAGGAAGCTCCTCATGTTGCCTGCGGTCGGACTGATCCTGGATCTAGCCCTTGGGTTGTTTGAGTTGGTCCCTTTCTGGGTCAATGAGTCAATAAGGTTCCCCACAAACCTTGGGGGGGCTTGGGCAAATCCCCTCACCGCATGTCCGCGTCACCCGTTCCCAGGCACGCCCCTTGCAGGAGGAAAACACAAATTTTCAGGGTCAAGGGTTTTGGCGCCACTTTCCCCACCAGCCCCTTTTTTGGGGCTCTTCAAGAGTAATCTTGGGCTCATGGACACGTTGAGTGCGGGATTTCACGACTCGCCTCCCATCTAGCCGCCATGTTTTTCTTGAGGCCACCTTTAAAGGTGCCTCAAAAAACAATCCTGGATCAACCCATGGGTTTCCGTGGCTTCCATCGGTGGCTTGTCCCTGTGGGGTCTTTGGATGGTGTCCATCGGTCCGTCGGTCCACTCGCGAGGAATGGGTCGCAGAGCGGCCCGGAGCTGCGGAGCTTCTGCGAGGCGGCGAGTCGCGTGGAGGCCACGCTGCAGCTGGAGGAGGCGCTGCTCGAGCGCCGCTTGGCCGCGGCGCTTGGCGCGGGCGTTATCTCTTCTTACAGAGTGACCATGCTCCTTTACATAGTTGGCTATTCTTCTTTTTGCATCAGACAATTCAGTAGTTTCTTTAAGGGCAATTCTTAATCCTATAGATCCAGCTATTGCAACTATCGTACCAAAAAAGCATATCTCCATCCATGAGTTGGATAGCGTGGATGGGGGGGGATTGTTGGGAGGGGGAACTCCAAAAGTATCCGTGGAGTTGGAAGGGGCGATGCACTTCTTGATGGGTTTGGAAGGGGAAGACCCTGGGATCCATCTTGCACCTCAGCGGACAGATGAAGTGCTCAAAGCGAGAAGCTGTCTCTGTGGGTATGTGGGAGTGTCTGTTTTTCAAGGTACCTTGTTGTTGTGGTTTCAAGCGAAACCATGGAGAGAACCACAATTTTCGGGCCAGGCCGCGTTTACATTGGAAAAACTTGTAGGAGGAGGTTTGGGTTGCAACCAATCAGACTACAGCTGCAATTACATGGTATCCCTGTGCATATCCAGTGATTGACGTCATTGTCATGCCCTGACTGTGCTCTGCTTTGTTACATTCGGGGAGCCAAGTTTCATGTTTCCGCCCGCTGGAATGGTATGATGTTTATGTTGCTTTACAGTGGCGCACATGTTGGATGTGAGTTTCTCTGGTGAGTGGCGTGCTGAGTTCCGTGCCGGCAACAATTGCTGGCGACAAGTTGGTGTGACTTCGGGCACCTAATGGCAGAAAAGATGGGGTGTTGCAGTGCGGATGTTGCCGTTTGTTGTCCGTTCTTGCAGATGTGTATAGCCGCTGTATTTCAAGTTTTCTTGCTGCCCGGGTAATCCGGACACTTGTCTCTTGGAGCCTGGGTCACGAAGATCTTGAGTAGCCCCGAAGTCGCGCCTTGCAGTTGGGATTCGGACTGGCGACTGTTGCCCTTTGAAGAAGAGCTTAATTTTCAACAATATCTTGCAGATGTGTATAAGGAAACTTTCAGGAACGATATTGCTTGACCTAGAAGTGCTGTTGAGAGCGAAATGGATGTGCTGTCGACCTGTTTGGGTGAGGGCCCCACCCAGACTTGGAATGAGACTGCCAATCAATGCATTGACAGCAAATCGTGCATCAATGTGCATGCAATACAACGGAACATGGCATGTCCACGAACGAGCATCGAGTCCAATGTCGTCTGACCAGGCATCCAAAAGGGTTCTCGCATATTTCCGGTGGGTTATTGGACCTTACCTTGTCGCCGCCTGATGAACATGATCTTTCTTTTGGCTTGGAAAGCAAAGCGGCTGAGGAGAGGCGGTGAGTTCTCAAGCTGAGTGGCCTGCACAGGAGCGAGGGGCGGTGGGGGAAGCGGGCTCTTGTTGGCTGAACACCTCAAAGCAGTCTTACTTGATGTTTTTTTCCAAGGGTCGTTCTGACTCTGAGTACTGGTACCATGTGTTGCCTTGTTGAACAGGAAACCACTGGGGAAACAGCCACGTTTGGGGTTTCCAGAGCCATGAAGGTCGGAAGAGCGAACACTGGCCTAGACGCCAGCATTCTTCCGAGCACAACCGCCGAAGGCTCGAGTGCCTAGAGAACCTCAACTTCAGGATGCCCAGATACTCGCAGAAAATGTGAGGATGACTCCTTCACCAGCCACTTTGGGGACTCTGCGTATGAAATGCTTGGAAGGTTCATTCCAGCCCATACTACCTCAAGATCAAGTTCGTGCCAGGTACCTCATGGCTTTCCTCGTTTCCCCCTCGCACCCGTTTTGAGCTCCCTCCTTCCTGGACCCGAGGACCTGAAGGAGGCGCGGCGCCTCATGTCCGCGCTGGACTCCTGGGAGGCCGCCGGCGCCTCAAAGCGAACGACGCAGCGGGACTTGAGCGCCACGTGTCGGGAGGTGAGCCACGTTTTGGACCGGAGGTAAACAGTTTTTGGGACTTTGTCCCAAAAAGTGTTGGAGGGAAACACTTCAGACTTTGGCCAACTCACCGCAATATCGGAAAAAGGGGTCGGGGTCCCCTTTATCCGTTATCCTTTCTGCTGGGTCCCTCATTTCGAGTGATTGTCATGCGGATTTTCGCGTGTGTGTGTGTGTGTGTGTGTGGTGTGTGTGTGTGTGTGCGCCTCGAAATGTGTGTTTGCTTTGCAAACACCACGCAGACGCAGATATACGTGCATATCTTATGTATCATGTATATATATATATATATGTATATATACGGCCGCGGTGCAAAAATTAAGCTCTGGATCAAGGGCCAAATCCCACGATCTACACACCCGATCCTGGCTCGTTGGCTACCTTAAAATAGCGATGACTTCGCGCTGAAGCAATCAGTTGGTTGGCACCAGCATTCATGCAACATTTTTAATATAGCATTCTCTTTTTCAATGGTAGCAGTTTAGCACTTAAAGTAGCAACATTCATTCAACCTTAAAATAGCGACATACTTGCATGGCACTGTAGTCGCTGGAAGAAGGTAAGAAAACCAGAACATGCTACACACGGGTTCTAGCGCGCAGCAAAACCGCCACGGTGCATTGCCCCCCCCCTCTCAAGCATGACCTCACACGCCTGTCTTGGTGCTTGTCGCTGTGGAAGATGTGAATTGTAGAACTCAAAAGTGGGACTTATCTGACCTGTTCCACTGTGTTTCATGAACAACGTCTCTCGCATGGAGCCATGGGACAAATCACAACCCAATGCGCCTGCAATGGAACGCACGAATCAGTTGCCCTGATGAGTTTCCGCCTGTTGGCATGCGCATCACTTTCCCTCTGATTCTGGCTTCTTCTTGCCGGCGAACCTGGCAAAGGAGCCGACAATCTGAGAAGCACCACACGGTATCACGAGTAGTCCATGCAAGTGCATCACTTCAATCAAAGTCGCCCTTTTGATTGCAAAGGATTTGAAGCATCCTCGAGCACAGTTTGACATGTACTCCTGAAGGCCAAACTATTTTTTTCTCTAGAGAGGCTTGTCAAAAGCGATACTTGTTTCGGTGATAACTAGCCGGGGTCCAAAAAGGGTCTGACCCTATCCTCGGTAACCTGAGGCATTGATGAAAGGGAAGGCGGTGCTTTCCATGGAGGCGGATGGAGGCAGCCCAGTCGAACCGCCTTCGAGTCCAACCGGGTAATGCTCGTGCCGGATGGATGCGGTGTCCCTTGTGGGATTTCGTAGTTGAATTCGGTGAATAACCCAGTCCAAGGGTGTGTATTTGTTCTTTATGTTCTTGGTTCTTGCATGCTAGGGATGGTCATGAACACTAAGTTAAGACAACCATCAAGATTTCTATGCACCGCCATCCTGCAGTGGGTCCCGCTAGTGGGTGCTGGCCTAGTAGGAAGTTTAGACAACTGCGAGTTCGAATTGCGGGTCGCTCCCGTGATCCACGTTGTGACCAACGGAAGACACCAGACAAGGCACCCTGGCCTGCGAGCGGCACATGTGGCTGTCAAAACCAATGGGATCCCATTTGGGGTAGGTGCACCACCCATTTTAGAACCTATTATTTAGTGGTTGGGTTGGGATGTTCACTGGGGGTACGATTTGGATTTTGACCCATGGCCAAGTGAATGTCAGGCTTTGCGATTTTAGTGGCGGTACGATTTGGATTTTGACCCGGCCGACTTTCTCATTGCCTGAATCACTGGCCCTGACGTTCACGCTGTGTGGCAGCGGTTTGTTCGCCACGCACGTGTGGCGTCCAAAATTATGACTCACTCCATTGAAGGTGTCACTTCCCCAAGGGCACCGCAACAAGGCGAGAGTCGAAGGGCGCCTGCGTTCCTTTTCGGCAGCAATGCTCCTGACTATTCGTCAAACCTGGTGGACCAAGGGCAATGTAACTGGATGCCTGGGAGTTTGTTTTCAGGAGTGAGTTGGGCCTCACCAACCCCCAGACAACTAACCCAAAACACGTCAGTTGGCCACCAGTCCCTGAATCATCGTTGGCGCCAAAAAGCGTCCTTCTTCACCAGGGCTGCTCAACCAGGCATTGCGTTCAGGGATCCCAGACAAGGTAGCAAATTGCCCGAACCCCCCAGAAACCCAAGCTGAGTCCCCAGGTGCCATTTGCAGCAGCCTGGGCGCAGTGCTGGACAGCTTCCGACAGCTGAAGCAGGCGGAGAGCCAGGCGCAGGCAGGGACAAAAAGGTGTTGGAATGACACCTAGGTGGGTGATCACTGGATGCTACGTCGCAATTTGTTTTTATTTGTTTTGTGTTAACTTGTAGCTTTTCCAGAGCCTCTATTTAGCACCCAAATCAGTATGGGTTCGTCTCAAACTGGAATTTGGAACTCCCCAAATGCATGGGGTTCCTTGGCGTAAATGAACAAACCGCGTGTAAGCTTTGGCATCGGGCTTGCCGCGTTGAGACAGGTCAGGTGTTCTGAGTGGAACGACAGACCCTTGATGAGCCACAGCCCAAATCCGGCAATTCGAGGGAACAAATGGCAGCGGGAATCCGCCCATTTGATTATTTACATGTTTGTCGCTGCCAGTTTCGTTGTTTTTCTGACTCAGGCTTCCTGTCGGTTTCCTTTGAACGCCATCCATAAAGATGTCCCTATGCCTCTTGGAAAAGCAGCCGGTACACTGCCATGTTTGTTGCTTGGAGGGTCGGTGGTTGCTACGGTGGTTTCCAAGACTCCGATGCAGTGCTTGATGACTCGTCTCAGGCGGGCGACTGCGCTGCTGTGCAGCACGCGGACATGGGCATCGCCGGCAAGGCTGGTGGCATTTGGTGCGGGTCAGTTGCCGGACAGGACGTTCAAGCGCCATACGCAAGAGGAAGTGAGGAGCACAACGAGCATTCATATACGCAAATGCATCTATTCCGTGATATCTATATATATATACATACATACATATATACACACCCCAACCGAGTGTTTTAAGCATTTGACGCGCAATTCTGACCGCCAGGATTTGGTCACAGATTTGATGCATTGTTGGGTGGTTGGTTTTAACAGAGCAGATTATATGCAGTCATAATATATATATATATGCACCCCCCCCCCCCCAAAAAAAAAAAAGAGAGAGAAACGCGCCTGCGGCTTATATAAAGCAAGTCAGGTCATTTTAGATGGATGTTGCCGAAATTGGGCTCATTTTCCAATGTGACAGATTGCGCAGATTGTTTCTTAAGGCTTTGCCACCCATTTTAGTAGTATTTCTACTTGCAGAAACATGTTTGTGGCATTCCTCCTGTTGATCCTTGTTCAATCATTTCATACATTGTTTCGTCATAGCCCAAATTTATTTCAACGTAAGTTAATGCCTCTTCTGCTTCACCTACGCATCTTTGATTTCTCATCTCAACTGATGTGCAAATCGGAATCGTCTGTCAACTAAAAAAAACAGTGCCAATACCTGCGACGCATCTTCCATCTCTCATCTCAAGCCATCTGCAAGTCCCTTTCGTCCGTCAGCTCACAAGCCTGGGCTCATACCAAAATTCTGCTCGGATCTTATATTCCTTGATCAATGCCACGCTGTCTGCTAAAATGACAAGTTTCCATAAGCGAAATCTGTTCTGCACAAAACCTGCTAAGGAGCATGCAACACACTGGTATTTGCAGTGGTTTTTCAATATCCAAGGGTTAGCCCGGATGTCTAAAGCATGCTCTGAAGAATTAATTGTCCAATGTCCATATGCTGAACTATCAGCTGTATCTACCGCACACAAGTCCAACACAATGCTAAGGTGCACAACCAAAGAGGAATGACTGAAAGCTGACGTTTTGAGGCGCTTTAAAGCGCTTTCGCGGATTCAAGATTCCCAGGACTCTAGATCTTGAATATTGAATCCAGTATGGGGCCCCAAAACCCTTTAAAGCACTTTCATCCGGGTAACTCACGGATTCAATATTCAAAAACAAGCGTCCTGGGAATATTGACTCTTGAATCATAGATGCAACAGGGCTTTAAAGCACTTCAAAGCGTTGTGGGGGCTCCATACTGGATTCAAGATTCCAGATCTAGAGTGTGGGGAATCTTCAATCTGAAATCTTGGATCCAACAGTGCTTTAAAGCGCTTTGAGGGATTTAGGTGAATAGAGCTGCAGTCCAATGTGCAGATGCAAGCATAGTTAGACGGTCAAAATTGAGGTGCCTAAAACGGGGACGTGGACATCACCCAAAAGTAGAGCAAATACCGTCAAATCCTCTTGGAGTGGGTTTGGGGGGGGGTTACCATACATATATCTCGGCTTGGCAGATGTTGCTTCAGTTGTCATTCCTTTGACAGGCAACAGCACTTCGACCTTTGCTGGAGGCGCTGTTGGACAAGGCCGCCGATTTCAGCAGGGCGGCTCCGGAGCCGTCCTTGCCCTCGCCGGGGTTTCACTGTTTTGATTGGGAACCCTCCGGTGATCGTCAAGGGTATTTGCGGGCTTGTATCATTCTGGGTATTTCAGGGCCGGTCTCAACATGGCAATTCTATGTGCCCTTCATATTTTTCCAGGGGCTTGGGTTTTCGGTTGGTTTCCCTCCGAACATGAACCACAACACTCTGTGATTGAGCCGTCACCGGTGCCAGCCGAGCCGAGTGCAGAGCGGTTCAGAATATGTGGAATATGTGTGGACTATCGTATTCCCTAAACATCATTGGCCACTCCACTGGAGGGCTTTGCATCTCCATTGGAAGGGCCCCATCAAGGAATTTCGGCTGTTGATTTCCTGGAAACCTTAGACTTTGCAAGCCTTCGACTCCTTTGACTCTTGCGCCTTGTTCAGCCAGTGCTCCATTTTTGAGCGAACTGCGATCCCTTTTGGAGAATCAAACCGCTAGCTTGAAGTCTACCTTGGGCCCACCGAATCAAGAATGGAGCCCTGGCCCCTCTCTTCGCCTCAAAGGTTTGTTTGAAAAGGAAACGAAAGGCCACCAACCCCAAACCCAAAGTGGGACAATCATCTAAGGGACACCTTAAAGGCACCCCACCCCTTTCTTGTTTCCGGCTACTGGGGCAAAGGCAACCGACCTCGAAGGCCCCACCCATGGTTGTTGTTGGGAAAGATTTTGCATTTTTGCTGATTGTGGTTTGGTGGCCCCACGTAACTGCTAAAAATCGGAAAATTTTGCTCCCCAAACCCAACGTCAACCAAGCACCCCTTTGAGTCGGCCTCCGGCGTGAGGCTTTGGAGTTGAAGGGCGACGCGCTGCAGGACCTGCTGTTCAAAGGTAATCCTCAATCCTTACCTGGGGTTACCCCTTTGTAGTGGCTTTCCTATAGGAATTATGGATTAGGATTGGCCAAGCCTCCATTTTGAACAGCCTAGCAGGACCTGAGGCTGCACCTGCAGAGCTTGCCCGAGGCCTTGGCGCGAGCCCGCGAGTCCGCGAGCGAGTTGGGGCGTGGCCGCGAGTTGGCGCGCGACTTGGGGGGCGGTTGGGAAAACCCAGTGACCTGTTTGGGGGAAGCTGTTTTTTAAGAGGGTGGGGAAAAATGGCGGTTGAAGAAAATTATCCTTTCAGAGGGCAACGGAGTTGACAGAGCTGGTTGAAAAGCGCGGGTCTCCAATGTGGGCGTGTGCTCAGGCATGCCAGGTTTGTTTGGCGTGCTTCATGCTGATTCGCGTGTTCCATGAGCCTAGGTCAGCACTTGGGTATGGGTCAAAATTAAGCGACCAGGGGACCGCAGGTTTTAGTCATGGGTTCTATTTGCCAGGGTTCCGTTTTGGGGTTATCCGTTTTTTGACCCGCAGCCACTTGCCGCCAGGGGCGGAAGCAGACGCTGAGGGAGCTCCAGGTGGACTTGCCAGAGATCCCTCTCGCAGGTGGGAGGGAGGTGAATCAAATGGGGCTGGCGAAATCCGTAAGGTGCAGCCTTTGTGACTCTTTTGTTGGCAAGCTGGTTCATTGAACATCTGCCCAACCCCCTCGTGTCTTGGGATATCTTGGGCTTTTTGGCCGCATGCGGTTCTTGCTCTCACTTTCCACAGAGCCATTCTAATTGTTGAGTGAAGCCAAGGTTCCCTTGACCAATTGGTCACCAATCCAAAGCCGAGCACTGACAGGTCGGCTCAATGTGGCGCTCGGCATCCTTTGGTTGTTAAGGAAGCATGCAGAGAAATGTGTATAATATATACATATACATATATATATATATATACATTCATATGATATGTATAGGGCAAGCTTTGATTGCGGTGCTGTGCGTACCCACTGTTGATATAGTATATATGTTCCGAAAGGGTCGTTACATGCAGATATGAAGGGGAAGGCCCTTTGGTCTGAGAGTTGCCCATTGTGAAAAGCTTCTCGATGGAGGTCGCGAAAGCAGTCTTTTCGCACAAGTTTTGTGTCAGGGTGGCTTTGCCAAAAGGAAGAAGGAATGATCAAGTGTATTTGCCAGTAGTGCGCGCAGAATACACAGACTAAAGTTGGTCGGAGGAAAGCACGGCCTACTTTTTGTCGTGGCGAAAGCTGCGCGATGGAGGTCGCGAAGAGTATTGTTCCGCGCAGACGGGAACATGTTCTTTTAGACAACCGCCAGCCGCCATACACATATACAACTGCCCATTGTGAAAAGCTTCTCGATGGAGGTCGCGAAAGCAGTCTTTTCGCACAAGTTTTGTGTCAGGGTGGCTTTGCCAAAAGGAAGAAGGAATGATCAAGTGTATTTGCCAGTAGTGCGCGCAGAATACACAGACTAAAGTTGGTCGGAGGAAAGCACGGCCTACTTTTTGTCGTGGCGAAAGCTGCGCGATGGAGGTCGCGAAGAGTATTGTTCCGCGCAGACGGGAACATGTTCTTTTAGACAACCGCCAGCCGCCATACACATATACAACTGCCCATTGTGAAAAGCTTCTCGATGGAGGTCGCGAAAGCAGTCTTTTCGCACAAGTTTTGTGTCAGGGTGGCTTTGCCAAAAGGAAGAAGGAATGATCAAGTGTATTTGCCGGTAGTGCGCGCAGAATACACAGACTAAAGTTGGTCGGAGGAAAGCACGGCCTACTTTTTGTCGTGGCGAAAGCTGCGCGATGGAGGTCGCGAAGAGTATTGTTCCGCGCAGACGGGAACATGTTCTTTTAGACAACCGCCAGCCGCCATACACATATACAATATAGATGTATACATGTATGCACGCCCTTTGCTACACACATCGCATGCATGTGTCTACCACTGTGTGCTTGCTCACATGTTGACAGGGATTCCCTGGAAGTCTGTTCCGAGAGAGCCTATGCCCAGCACCGGCCAAGCTTGAAGCTTGCAGGACAGAAGGTTCCTGCGCCGGGGCCCTTGGCCGTATGAATGACAGCCCCGGGGAAGAAAGCCGTTAGTCCGGAACTGCGCGTCGTCCGGAACTGGCATGGCTTCGTCCCGCCTCTCTGCTGCCAAACTCAGCCGCAGTGACTGGCCATCCAAGTCGCATGGCGGTGATGCTGGCTTTGGGCCTTTGTGGGTACTTTCCAGCGTAGGCAGGAGTTTATTTTGGAATTCCTGAGACCATGGTCAATGCAGAGCCGTCCACATTCCTTCTTGATTATTTTTGTAACCGAGCTTTTGCTGACGCAAGTTCATTCGGCATATAATTCCTGGTGGAAGAGCTGGATGCTTTCTTGAGCAAACACAAGCGAAGATGCAGTTACAAAGCCGAAAGTTTTGCTTGCTGGCACGTAAAAGCTGGCGCTGGGCAAGACTCTCACCTATGGGTATTGTGTAAAGACGAGAACGCGACCTTATGATGAAGCTCTCTATTTTGGGGGTTCCCTTATTTCAGGTTGGCTAGTTTTTAGGACTCACCCATATGATTGAACTGGTTGTGAGAGCCTGGATGTCGCAGCCATGTGAGTGTGGTAATTTTCCGGAGGACCCGTTTTGGATAGTTAGGTCTATGATAGTAGGTCTGGAATCGGACCTCCGGCCCGTTTGTATGGGATCGTTAAAATGCCAAGGCGCATGCTGGACGAGGCACGGTATTCGAGTGGGCAGGGTGCTAC